CAGTTCTCTCTGTAGCTTGCTTTCTTTATCTGTAAAATGGAGCAATGTACTACCATCCTCAAAGGAATATCATAAGAACTGAATAAGATCTTCATTGGCAGTCATTAGAAAAGTAACTGCAATAAAGTGAGTTCTAAAGTGTTAGCAGTAATTTTTATTACTATTTTTCAAATGAAGAAACCTAATTCACCTTTACCCAACTGTCTTACCATTGTTTCTAACTTTTAACTGACTGTAATGCAGACCCAAAACTGGACATAAGGAAACTTCTGCTTTCCAGACATTTTTATGAACATACTTGAAACTCTAGCTCTACAGGAGGGAACATCACAATTGTGGCAGGATAATACTATGGCAGTATGAAACTTTGTTCCTGTTCTGTCTTCGTCAGTATGCCTTTTTTTTCTTACTTTTCTGTTTTGTTTTGATTTTTGGTGGCAGTAGGGTTTGAACTCAGGGCTCACACTTGCTAGGCAGGTGCTCTACCACTTGAGCCACTCCATCAGCCCTGTTCTGTCTTTCCCTACCATTGCTTTTCCCATTCAGGCAGCTAGGCTTGTGTGTTGATGACTCCCTGGTGAATGGGACAGAAGTAATCTTCAGACAGTTCAGGGGATTTCAGAATAGAGGGGTCATTTATTTTAGGCTTTAATGAGGGACATGATGGCATCACAGTGGCAGAATCTCATAGTTTCCTATTCCAGGTATGTGCAAGAGCAGAAGAAATACATGTCAGGTGTTTACACAAAAAATTCTAGACAGACACACAGAGTTCCATGTGTCATGTTGTGGTGCAGGGAGCAGCAAGGATACTGTATTCCTAGTTGGGCATGGAAACAGATCTCTCCATAGTCCACAGGACCAGTAGGTTTCCCACTGCGGTAGAAACTCGGATGTATGATGTGTGGTTACCAGAACTTCTTCATTTCTCCTTTGAGCATAAAGCTAAACTACACTTTCTAGTCTCCCCTGCAGTTAGTTGGGAAAATGGGACTGACATTAAAAAAATTACAGGAATCTCTATGTGCACACTCTTCCCTTGTCAGCTACCTGAATGTGTATGAACCAGTGGAAGACACGATTGTAAAAAATGGCAGAGTCACTGAATCAAGAACTGGAATTTAGCATTTCTTTCAATTATGAATGTGAGCACCAATGCAACTAGTATTAGCAATATTTGTTACTGTCACCAATAAAAATTATATTATGTTCATATCATATTACAGATATTGGAGGTATCACAAATGTCATTTATGTTCAAACTTTCTTTTAAAAAACTAATAAAAAGACCTAAATTCTTTTATCTCATATGGTAACAAAGCACAGTAATGAACATTTCTTTCTTATTGTCAATACTGAATTATTAAAAAGTACTTTGGAGATAATATAATATACATAAAACACAGAGACCAAAAAAAATTCCTGAACCCACAATTCCATATAAAATATTACTAAATGCATCTACAAACATGGAAAGGAGTATAATTTCATGCATCATCAGGAAAATGTCATTTTAGCGTTACTATATTTTATCTTATAATAGACATTTTAAAAAGTTGGAAAACTGCATTTCAATAAAATTGTTTTCTTTTATAATTGCATATGAATTTTATGCCTTTTGAACACATTTTTCTGACTTCACCAGATTTTCAAAGGGGGCTATAGAACAAAATTGTGAACATCTATTCTAGATGGATCCCTGAGAGTCTTTATGGAATAGAGCCCCTCTTTTCCTATCAGGTTTACATCTCTACCACACTGCTAACTCACTCTGTACTATGATGTGAGAAGACTATAATGCATGAAGACTATAATGTGAAAAGTTCTTTTAGGGCATTTCAATTAGTCTGTGCAGAATAATACATGGGAGACAGCACCTGAGATCTAAAGAGATCTCTCGTTGGAATAGATCCAGAAAGGGAAGAGTGAAGACAAGACTGGATAGGCCCACTGACCTAGCTTTTAACTAAATAATAAGGTTAATTTAGTAATATAAAAATAGCTCAATTATATCTTATTTTGAATTTGTACACTGAGATTTTTAACTCACATAATAAACTTTCTTATTTTAGTATTTTCTCTTCATCAATTAGAATGGCAGTTTCGTGCCCCAGTGGAATCAATAAAAAAAAATTAGAATGGCAGTTAACTTTTGTACAGCAGCTTCTAAGTGCTTTTGAACTCATCAAACTTTATATGTAAAGAGTATTAAGCTCCTTATTAGCTTTGTTCTCAAATAGAGTTTACTATTTCAGAGAAATAAATTGACACAAAGATGAGATCAATATTGCATAAGTCCTTCTATACAGGAATAGAAAGTTGGTAATTTTTTAAACATCTATTGATTTAAATAAGATAATTTTCATAGAGCCATAGCCCTCTAGCCAGAGCCCTTGAGGCTTTTTTTTTTTCTTTTGTGGTGTTAGGGATCAAGTCTAAGTCCTTGCACATACTAAGCAAGCACTCTACCAATCAGCTACATTCCCGGTAATCCTTTAATTTTCAAGACAGGCATAAATTTGATAAACTCTATCAAGCATTAAGTTTTGCTTAACTTTAAGTTCCTTTTTAGATCCTTTTGCTGCCATTATTTTAACCGATCACTGTGAAACTTTCAGGTTGTTACAAGTTAGATGCAAAAACTCTTTGGGGCATAGATTCTAATCCCCAAGGATTAGAATATCTAATTTTTTAACCTATGGAACTATAAATGAATGAAAATAAAATGGGATTAGTGTGCTAGATAGTTTGGGACTCAGCATTAAAAGGTATAAAAAGGGCTGGCGGGTGTGTGCCTAACAAGTGCAAGGCCCTGACTTCAAGCCCCAGTACCACTGAAAAAAATAGAGACAAAAATATAGTTCATTTATTCTTAAGAAATAGATAAAATAAATATCAATCTGTCCTGATCACTGCTATATACCCAGTTCTAAGCCTAAAGACTAGCAGATAAGAGTATTTGTGAATGAAATGTAATAACTAGTAAATTATTAATAATAAATTAGTCAAAAAGTATTCATTTTAATTATATGCCATATAACTGAGACTGGACTTCGCCATAATAAAGTTGTCTTTTACTTATGTAAGGGTAAGGTGACTAGAATAAGAAGTTTAAGCTTCTAAATTGCCAGTAGCTTGCTGAGCCTTTAAATTCTTTTGTTGTTTTTGTTGGTACTGCGGTTTGAACTTATGACCTCATAATTTTATAGGCAGGCACTCTACTGCCCGTGGAAATCCTTAAAAGATATAAAGTTCTTTGATGGAAGAAATACTCTGGGGCATTGTATTGTTACAAACGGGCCTGTTCCTAAGATATTAATCTTTTAGTGGCTTCTCAGTATTAATATGTTTTAGAAAATACAGTAATTAATTTTCCTCTTCAACTTTTTGTGTTAATTTTCAAGAATCTGAAAGAGTAGAGAATAACATAAAGAACACTAAGTACCCATTTCTCATCTTCAACAATTTTTGCATTATGCCATTCTTATTTTATTTTTTTGTTGGTACTAGGGTTTGAATTCAGGGCCTTATGCTTGCTATGCAGGCACTCAACCACTTGAGCCACTCTACCAGCCCTGTTTTGCATTGGGTATTTTTGAGATAGGGTCTTGTGAACTATTTGTCCAAACTGGCCTTGACCCGTGATATCACTGCCTCCTGAATAGCTAGGATTGCAGACTTGAGCCACTGTTGCCAGCTTTACTTATTTATTTATTTATTTGGCAGGGGGTGGAGAGTGGGGGGGTATGGGATTGAAGACAGGGCCTTTCACATGCTAGACAAGCATTCTACCATTAAGCCACATCCCACCCCCTCCCCCTTTGAGGCCATTCTTACTATATTGCCCCCTTCTCTAACCTTGTTCTTTAATTTTTTCTTAAGTAGTTTAAAACAATTCTAGGAGTTATATTATTCTAACTATAATTATTTCAATATGTATCTCTAAAGGCTAAAGACTTTTTATAGCATGATAATATAATACCATTTAAAACAACCATGTAAAATTGTTAACAACTCCTTAATAGAAGATTGTCCATGTTCAAATTTGATTTAGTTGTCTCAAAAATGTCTTATTCTTGGTTTGTTTGATTAGGCTCCAAACAATGTTCCTATGAGTTCAATTTGGTTGATATTATCATTAAAGTTAGTATTGATAGAAAAATTCTTCCTTCTTTTTTTTTTAAATGGCATTTATTTGTTGAAGAAGGCAGGTCATTTGTTCTGTAAGAATTCATTGCATCATGTAGTTCAACATGTCCCTCTCTTTTCTGTAAAAATAGAAATTAGATCTTTCACATACATATAGTTTTATTTTGGCAAGAATGTCACAGGTGATACTGTGTACTTTTCATTGCATTAGGGGGCACATAATATTTGTCTCTACTTTTTGTGATGTTAAGGCTAACATTACAGAAATGGTGATGGCGGAGTGGCTCAAGTGGCAGAGCACCTGTCTAGCAAGTGTTCAAACCCCAATGTTGCAAATAAGATAAAATAAAAGATTAACAACTGACTTTAAGTGTTGTCAGTCTGATCCATCATTATGAAGTGCTACAAACTTCTACCTAACAGTATTAGCTATTGATGATTGTTGACTAGGTCCATTATTTCATAAGAGCTGCAAAATTGTGATTCTATAATTCTATCATTTTCATTTATTAACTGGAATTCTGTAAAGATAAAATTTCTTTCATCGACTACAATGTTACCCTGAAATACAACTCATCCCCCTAAAAGCAGGAAAACTGCTGTTTCTTTTACTGAAGTTGGTCTGCTCTGAGCAGTTGAATTAGTGTCTTATTAACTTCCAAGAGTGAGCAATGCGTCTCCCAATCCAACCCACCCTACACTCCTCCCCAAGGTTCCAGGTGGTTTTTGCTGTGAAATCGAGTAGAACTAGAATGGGGCAGGATAGGACAGGATGGGGCAGGCCAAGGTCTGGTGCCGGGATTTAGGGCAGAGAGGGACAGTCAGGAAAGGGAGAATACCTCAAGCAGGCTCTAGGAGGTGGAATCCATGTTGTCTGAGGTGTGCTGGACATCAGGGATTGTGGAATGGCTAGGTTCCTTGCTGTCACTGCCACCACTGGTAGGTGCTGCGTTCTCCTGCTGACAGGCCTCTTCGGAACCAGGTCGTGTGTTGCCCTGGGTCTCCTGGTTCTCCCTGGAGCCCAGCACCACATACCTGCCCTTCTCCTTCAGCTCCAGCTGCCTCCGCAGCTCATCTGCCATCTGCGAGAGATCCCGCTTCATGGCATAAGCATCCTCTCCGTCTGCATAGTACTTGGGTTCCACCTCGCTAACCTGAAAGTTGAGGGTGTTGGAGTAGAGGTGCAAGGCCGCCCGGTTGCTCTTCCTAACGTGCAGGGACACATATTTTGCACTGAAGTTCTCGATCATGGCCCGTGAGGCCTGGTCCATCAGCTTCTGGGCCAGGCCGAGGCGCCGGTGGGAGCGCTTCACGGCCAGAGAGGTGATGTGCCCATGGGGGACATCGTCAGGGTCCTCCTCCATCTTGGCCAGAACATAGCCCACAATCTTCCCGTCCTCGTCCTCAGCAATGTAGGAGAGCTGGGGCCAGGAAAGGCCATGGTAGAAATAATATTTCATCTGGTAGTTCTCGGGAAGGCACAGGAGGTTGCAGTGTTGCATGTTCATCAGGTCGTCTGGCTGAGCATTGCGGACGTTCATAATGGCGGCTGGGGAGACGGTCAGACTGCGGAGAACCAGAAAGAGGCTGTTGGCTGGCACAAGGAACACCGTTTGTCTTGGGTAATTGAACCCAGGGTGCCGAAGCCGCTGGGCCGGAGGAGGGAGAGGAGACGGTGGTGGGAAGGCTGCAAGGCCAGGAACCGGAAGGGGCGGGGCTGAACTGCACTTCCGGAAGCGTGCTGGCTCCCAGCCAATGAGGTCTTGGCTTCATTGCACTGTGCGCACTCTGGTGTGGGGGCGGGGAGAGAGAGGCATTGCTTATGATGGTTTGGTTTAAAGTACTGTTTGACCAATTGCTGTCATTATTCTTTTACTCAGTTTTAACTTTTTGAGTTCATCTGGATATATTTTCACAAACTGAACAAATCTGTATAACCAGAAGTTAGATGAAGAACCAGAACATTGCCTGCACTCCAGAAAATCTCTTTCTTCCCACCTTCAACACCCCTTTCTTCTGCCATCCAGTTATTAATTATCACCTAGACCTCTAAAAGATTTTATGTAAATGGAATCATAGTGTATGTATTTCTTTAGTGTCTTTTTTTTTTTTTCCCAATCAGAGTTTCTGACACCTCATTATGGTTTAGGGTTCTCTATATTCTTCCTGGTTTGATATTCTATCACCTAATTACATGACAATATTCATTCTACTGTTGCTGACCATTTGTGTTATTTCCAGTTTGAGACTAGTATAAATAATATAGCTGAATATTCTTGAATATGTCTTTTTGATATGTATGCATCTAGGCCTGGATCAGAGAATGTAATGGTGTTCAGTTTTTGGGAATATTGCTAAGTAATCTTCCAAAGTGATTTTTCCATGTTCTCGTCAACATTTGGTAATTCTCCCATCCTTTTCATTTTAGTCTTTCTTATGTGGGGGTGGAGGTATTACATTAGGGTTTTATTTTGCATTCCCCTGAGGACTAGTGAAGTTGAGCACTTTTAATAGGATTATTGGCTATTCTATGTCCTCTTTTGAGAAGTAGCTGCTCAAATCTTCTGCTTGTTTTCCTACTTGGTCGTGTGTCTTTTTTACTCTAATATTTAATTTTTTTTCAAAAATATATACTGGATAGGAATCTCTTGTCAGATATAGTTATAATGAATATCATTCTTTTCTATTGGTTAATTTTTCCTCTCTTAATGGCAATTTTTGACACAAAACATGAATTTTGAAATAGTCAAATTTGTTCATTTTTTAAACTTTATGCATGCTTTTTGTATTCTTTAATCTTTGCCCACATCATAGACACAGAGGTTTCCTGCATGGCTTCTTCTAAGATCATTATTCTTTTACATTTCATGTTTATGCTTCCAGTCTTTTGGTATTTATTTTTGTGTGTTTTGTGACATAGCACTTTAGCTATTTTTTCCCCTGTGCAGATATACAATTCATTTAGCACCATTTAATTTTTTTATAAAAATCATCTTTCTCCAATGCATCACAGGGTTACTTTTGCCATACATCCTATGTTCTATTTCTAGATATATTTAAAAAAAATATGCCATCTTGATAAAGGAGGGGTTGAAGTAGTTCTCTAATAGTGCAAAGACATCATATTTTATTAACACTGTTTACACATAAACAGTCTAAGTCCTACAATTATCTATATATTGTATTATCTTTCCAATTTCCTAGCAGACCCAGGAACACAAACACCAAAGCTTATTCTGTTGTACTTATATGATCAGACACATCATGGATATACTCTAGCTAGTCTAGAATATGTGTCAACACTTTTTCCAATGGGGATATATCCATTAATAGCTAGAGTAATCTAGAGCCATGTGATTTGTGCAACATAGCTTCAACAGCCACTATTTTTGTTGACATATGATGATTAGTAATGTTTGTGTTAATATGTTTTTAACATTAAAAATTTATTCATAAATATTAACCCATATAAATTGTACATATTAATGGGTTTTACCATGACATTTCCATACATGCATTTATTGTGTTTTAATTATCACATTTTAAAGATTTAAGGTAAAAATTTTAGCTCCTTGTTGTTTTGGCACAATGTTGTACACATTGTAAAAGTTATCTCCCAGCGTTATACCCACTCAAAAATTTCTCTTGGACAAGAACATGTTCTCTGAGGTGATGTAGCTCTGAAAACATGTTGCAGAAGTGGTATTGGGCTGATGCTCCTTCAACTGGTTCTTTAAGAAATAGTGGCCACCAAAACCAATGTGTTGTGTTCCCTGAGAGTAACATTTAAAAGCAGACCATGTTATTTACAGATACTGTATACTAACACATAGAATAGTTTCTGGCTTAATGTCGAATAGTTGCTGCTAGTAGTTGGGCAGTACACTTGACTGATTTCAGAGTGGGCAAGGTACAAAAACCAACTGATACAAGTGTGGTTTTTAATGCACAATAATGTATTCTTTACACACATGTAAGCATGGAATATCATGGCAACTCTTTGTCAGGGAAAAAAATGTCTTCCTGATTCAATGACCAGAGTAACTAAGACAAAAAAAATGCAACAACAAATTTTATTCTGATAAACTCTTCTTCCTCGCCAGAGAAGTTGGCATCATACTCACTTCTGTGTTTGCATATTCATTTCAACTTTAGTAGAAATCATAGACCCAAGAGTAAAGACAACGGCTCTTGATATTGCTGGTAGGCAGGACTTGATTTGAAGTTTCCTACTGGACTGAAGTACAGATTTGCTCTGATAAATCACAATGTCTCAAATTTCTGGACTAGAGTTTAGCACTTGTTATGAGTTTGTTTATTGTCATTTTGTTTTTGTTTTTGAAACAATGGCTCACGATGCAGACTAGGCTGACCTTTAATGTGAGATCCTCCTATCTTTGCCTCACAAGTGCTGGGATTACAGATGTGCCCCACCATGCCCAGTCGGTAGTTTGTTTTTATCATAAGTAGAAGGCTTTGACCATCGTCACTAATACTTTGCAATAATTTAACACAAAGTCATCTAATACATAAATATGTTATAATGGGAGCTTCTGGGGTTCAGTCAGATCTTGTGCAATATCTATTAATATTTTATGGGGGAAAAGCATCCATATTTTTATTGGCTATAGATCTCATGCTTATAAAATTTAAAGGTAAGATACTTGATTACTAGAATCAGGTTTCCACAATCCTTGGTCAAGTTATTTTTCAAACTCACAATCCTACATCCTATACCCTGCCTCATGTCTACATAACACTTAAGCATTAATGGACAAATAAATAGCCTCTACATATTTCCTTTTCAGTATGAGCTGTAAACTGTGTATCTTTCTCACTATTAACAGACAATTTTATTCCAGATCATATGAAGAAATCTTAAATAGCTTTTTAATTCCACATCTGAGTCATTGCATCAGCTTTATTGTAAGGATATATTGTGTATCTTGAGAAAAATTATGTAAAACTTCCTAAAAACTTTTATTTGAGCAACTTTTTCTTCATCTGTATGAATATTCTGATACTTCTAATACTTCTAAATGATCCCAAAAATGATAGTAAAAAAAGATGCCTATCTTTTGTGTGTTTACTGAACTCCTTAAAATATAGGCTCAGAAAATATGGAAAATGTAACAAAATAGACTGGCTAATTCTAATCTGAATTACAATCATATAAACTGTTTATTATTTTTGTCATTATCTCTTTTGTCTGATTTTGCCATTCCAGCAACCATGAAAGCAAGATGAAGAAGATCCTTGGACTGACCCAAATTTTTGTTTGATTCTGTTTAATCTTGAATCTGAGGCCTCATCTTAGAGTAAGGCAAAAACAAAGTTTTCAGAGGCCATTAGTTGGACTCAAAAGGGGAAAATGGTGGTTACTTTTTCTGCAGTGACAGATAAAGCATTTCCATGCTGAAGATGTTTGAAAACATCTTCATCAAAGTATCAAATAAATAGTTCATCAAAGCTGTATTGTAATGGAACTGTGTGGCCAACGATGAATAAACAAATAGACACATTTGATATCTACTGAGGTGATAAACTCTCATTATTTTCTCTATTGTCCAGAAAAATAATGAAAGGAAAATGTAGAAACTGATAAGAAAGACAAACTGAGAAAGAATCTGCAACCTTCATAAGCAGCAGGTCTTTATTAGGGAGAGGAGACTTGAGGGACCCTCGGCCATCAGAGTAACACTCTGAGAGGGGTGACAGCACGCCTTTCTTACAAGCTAGGGATTTTAAACATCCTGTGGCAGAAAAAGGGAGGTTGGAGGGGGATGGGCATTAGGTAAGATGGTTAGAAAGGAGGATTGGGGAGGTGCTGGACATTAGTGGGAAGGTTATTGGGGTTGGGCAGGTATGCCTGTTGTTTTTTTGACATTCCAGGCTCTTTGCTAGCTATCCATCTAGATATATAGCTGTATATGTATGTGTATATATATATATATATATATATATGTATATACACACATACATAAGTGGCACAGGGGTGCTGCCTATCTTCTGGCTACTTCCTGCTTGTTAGGGTCAATGTGGGGGGCTGTTGAACCTGGAGCGTTTGTAGAAGCACGACGACCTTGAACTGCTACTCTGAGGTAGCCTGAGAAATGGCAGTAATACATTCCTGTAAAAATTTTAGTAGGATATTAATGAGGCATGGTAGGAACATTACAGCTAGACAAACCTCTTTGACTTTAGTAACTTTTGTGAGGTCTGGCACAGGTGAGTCCATCCGGATTGTGACAGCTTTCCCCTCCTGTCTCCAAACTGTCTCTGAAGAGTCTCCTCTGAAGATTTTGTCAATTCTGGTTAATGAGAGTCACTCAATGCAGAAATGCCTTTTCCTGGATGTTCTTGGCATTGGAGGGGAAACTTCAGGCAGGGCAGGTGGGAATCAGTGCCAAATGAGATCCATTTGGCCAAACTTTAAGCAACAAAAGAGGCTTAGAAGAAGTGAGCTTACCTGGCATCCATTTTGAGTTCTGTGTGGACTGTATATAGATGATACCCTGACAACTTAAAAGTGCTGCAGAATGTCAACAGACATTCAGACAGTTAAAGGTTTTGAAAAAGCCAACAAAAGTAAATATCTAGAAGGCTGACTCAA